TGTTGTTTTCCTCCTTCATGTCAGCTGCCTGACTTGCCAATGAGAGGTGGTTCACCTCATATCGCTCGACGTCTCTCCCCCCTGCCTACTGCCTGCTCCCTTTTTTTGCAAATTCGCATGTATCAGTCCTGCAGCCCACACCCAGCCTTGGCGAGGTTGCAAGGGAAATATCGCATTCGCCATGCCCAGAAAGAAATGCAATACTAACCTATTATTAGGCTGCCTAGACAACCCTTGCCCATGGCGACAGTACCCTGGGCAGTCTTTTTTTTTTTTAAACACCGCCTTTCCGGTCAGCAAAAAGAAACGCGTGCATATGGCGCGAAGGATTGGCCGCTAGAACCCTTGGCGTTTTCTTTGGGACCTCTTTTGACAGCACAAACATATGGCCTAATCCAAATATGCGGACTGCTTTTCATAAGCCATCTTCTGCCTTAACCAGATAAAAAGCTTGGTGTTTGCGAAATATATTCAAACGCGTTCGCAAAGTGGGGTGTCCCCTGGGCAGAAGCATGGCACTTCTGAGACGAGGCGCAAGCTTTTTTTAAGTTATTGTTGCAACGAGTACAAGCGAAGAATCTCGGCTTTCGTCGGTTTCGGTCATGCAAACCTCGGTCTATTTCGCCGCCTGCTATTTTTGCAGTGGGCTGCAAGGTCACCGGGGGAGTCTGGGTCATGTACTAGAGTCACCTGCCAATTGGCAGTCATTGCATCATGCGTCCCTCCAGTCGGTCTGTGGCGAGCTGCCAGGGAGGGGAGGGATGGAAGGCTCTGCACCACATGGCGACCACGCGCCCGGCTTTATTTGCACTGCTGGTTTTCAAAAGAGGGGGACGATTTTTGTTGGTGGTCGCGCGGTTTCTGTTGCGGGCTCTTGCAACATAGAGCGTATTGCACAATGTCTTGCAAAAGTCATGTACTTATTTTACGGCTTTATTTGCTACTGGATACGCGTGAAGATTTCGAGACCCACCCTACTGCCTTCTGCTCCACCTGACCAAAACCCGACCAAAAGAGCCTATATACAAGAAAGCTGCTATTTCCTGCAACTGCGGCTATACCGCACTTGCCTATCTTTTTTAATCCCTGGCACCAAGAAGTAGCATTTGAATCCGTTAGGCATTGTCCTGAACACTCTTTGCAACCAAATAAATTCGACAGCGTGTTGTGATTGTCTTCCTACTCAGCTCCTGGGTGGCTTAGCATCTAGCAATCATGGCACTCCCGCTTGGAACTCCGCAACAACCGCAGTATTGCTGCAGTACATGGATGGGTTGCTGACACGGCTCTGCGCAGGAAATGCGTACTGGGTTAGCAAATGCAGTTCCGCGTGAAGCCTAACTTGGGGAGGGGAAATTGTAATTGGGCAGCGGATTGGCGACAATGGGTTGATCGAGGCAACCGCGTTTAAGGTTCGGTTTTCAATTAGTACATATGTGGACATTAATATTAGCCATGCGCTTCATATGCACGCCATGCCAATCTGCCCAACGGCTCGGAGATGCCAGGTGCTCAACCCTCATCCAGAGATTCAGATCCAGAACTGGATCCTTTCTAACTTGATCTGGCAAGCAGTAGGCTCTGTGATCAGTTACCTTGATCATAGAGTTTGGGCCATGCTCTCATCATGATCAAGAATTCCTTCATCGTATATCGTGAATGCACATCATTGGGTATCTAAAAAGAGAATATCTGTGCGGAATTAGCAAATACTTTTAGGACGATCAAAGAGGCAGTGCAGAGGCGTATGCTGCAGTGGAGCCTTGCAAGGTGCTGTTTGTTTTTACCAAGCTTTTGTTTTCATTAATTGTATTGATAGACATGGGACCAGCAGAGCTTACCTTTACCAAAGCGCAGCTTGAGAAGGCCCGCTCCAAACGCATTACGAGCATAACAGTCACCTTGGTGGTCCTTGGTTTGCTTATCATCCTTTCCTTGGCTGTGCTTGCGCTTGGGCTAACGTTTGTAGTCGTAGGTGTAACTTGGGGATTGTTTGATGAAGGTGATGATTCGAGCAAGACGAATGTGCATGAGTCGAATATGCTCAAAGCTGGTATCCCCCTCCTTATCCTCGGGTTTCTTTTCGTAATACTGTTTTCGGTTTGGACACGAAGGCTGCGTTGTGTTCCGCCGGAAGCTCCGTGGCACTTGATACTCCCACCGGAGTTCATTTCTATCTAAGGAGGCTAAAAGGGTCTTGCTGACAGAAGGCAGCACAGCAGAGAAGCTACGCTGTCGTGGTAATTCCAGATACTGGCACCTGCGGAATAGCACACATTGAAGGTTTCCTTGATGACAAATACACAACAAATAAATGTCTGTTCTCCCCACTCCCAAATTTGCCCTTGTTTGGATAGTGGACATACTTGTCTATTATAAAGGAAGAATTGGCTATAAACCGGTCTATAACAGCGTAGATCACAGATGCGCCTCATTCTTGGCATTATATAAATACCTTTCTAGATGCACACCCAGCATACCTCTGGAGATAGCTCACAGCTCCCTCTCAAGACTGCTGCACAGGAAAGGGGTGTGTAGATATAAATGCGTCTTGGAAAAATCGCAAAGCAGGAAAATGTATGTCTTCTAGCAGACACTTTTTGTACCCTTAATTTTTTGACAGCGATGGAGCCAACAGTCCTCACCTTTACCAAGGCACAGCTTGAGAAGGCTCGCTCCAAACGCATTACCCTAGCAACAGTGGCCATTGTTTTTCTTAGCTTTTCTATCATTTTGTCTGTAGCTTGCATTGCAACCGGGATTCTCTTTGAGCTCATAACTGGAGGCAGGACAGAACGTAGGCCTGATGATACCGCTTTGGATAATGGAACTGAGAAGACTATCAAGGCCGGCTATGCATTGCTAGTTGTTGGATTTGTAGCAGTTATAGCTTTCTCTGTCTTGGTGAGAATGCGTGTTGTGTTCCGCCGGAAGCTCCGCGCTCTTGATACTCCATCAGAGTTCATTCTCGCGAAAGAAGCCAGGAAGCGCTTAAAGGCGCAGGGTATCAGCACCAAGAACTTTGTTGTCATTGTGGCTCTAGACGATGCACTTACGGCGGATACCTCCTAACTTGTCTCTTATTATACATGTCGTAGCAATTATGTCAACTTTCACTCTTTCTCAAGTGCTAATTTAGTTTAATGATATACACTAGCTTTTATTAGTAAGCAATAGTACCTGTATAAACTTGCCTTCATCATCACCGATGATCAACCTAGCTTTGTCTTGGCACTATAAAAATATCTGAACATATGCGTTCTCGCGCATATTTCTAGAAGGAATTCACAAGGACCAACCGGGTATTATGTGTAAGGAGTGGGCTGATGATGATAAATAAGAACCAAAGGCTGCGTCCCTTTTGCGACTGTCTCCTACCAGACAGCTTCTTATATTTAAATCCCCCTCTTATTATGATGGTTAGCGAGCCCATAGCCCTTACTTTCACCCAGTCGCAGCTTGAAGATGCCCGTGCTAAGCGGATTAAAGCAAAAAAAAAAGTATCGAGGCACCCTCTGCTTCACAATTTTAGCATTTTTATTCGGAATAGTCAGTGGAGGTCATATTGGTTCGACTGCTGATCGGAAGCGCCGTGGCTCTGATTTGACCGAGACGGATGCTCAGAAGGAAACAGTCCGTAGAGCTGGCGTTGGGATTCTTGTTACTGGATCCACTATATCTTCTTCATAGTGCTGTGTAGTGTACGGGCACGTGAAACTAGCCACGAGGGAACAAGCACACCCCCCAGAACGCATAGATAAAAGGTCGTATGCGACAGAGATACAGATTGTTTCCACAGGTTTATTCTTTTACTCAATACAAACACATCAACTGAAAGTGATAGGAACCATAATGTACATCAAAAAGCTCCGTGCAGCTGATGCACCCCCGGAGCTGTTTCTCTCTGGTGAAGCCAAGAAGCGTCTGAAAAGAAGTGAAAACTATCCGAGCAAATACAAGATCGTTGTTGTTCCAGATGACACGCCTACTGACAGCTCCTAGTACCGCTTACTTCAGTATCTACGGCCCCTGATCGTAAATAGCCTTTCTACAACATCCCTGGTTTATAGCCGCTATCTGTTTCTTTTTTCTGTGCCCTTGCTCGAAATTTGCAAAGAGCAGTGTATTAGGTAATCACTAGGTACTTACAAGTACCATCTAACTGGTACTGGGTATTGAGATCCCTAAGAACAATAAATGGAGCTGGAAATGCACTGCTTCTCGTCGCTTGCCCAAAAACAAAAAAGCCATTTTGGCAATAGCCAGATAGCCCACCTCGCTGTTGCAAACCACCTACCATGCATGCACTCGCTGCCAATTGTCAGCCATTCTATTTTCAGCAGATTGAGGCCAAACAGCCCAGTGACTTGTCTCGGGCCAGATTCGCTCTTCGCGCTTTTCACACACCGCAGCTGTTTTGTCATCCTTTGCCTCTGAAAGGCAAAAATCAGTCAATCCGTGCATGTTATTCCTTCTAGAAGCACGGCAACTCGTATTTACCGATTTTCCTTGAATTTTCGCCTATAGACGAATATTTGGGGATTGCAACGTCTGGCTGAAGCGCTGATCGTCCCTCCTACTGTGATTTTTTCTAGCTCCAGCGCTCGCAGTGTTGCCGCAGCAGGTAGTTGGGAGGCTGTATTTAACGGCTGTGCGCCTTTCTGCATCGCCCATTCCATCTTCAAGCAGAACCCTTCTCAACATCGTTTCGTTCCTTTCCTTCGTTTCCTTCGCCTATCACCAGGAGCTATTCTTCTACTTAACAATGGCCACCTATGTTCAGCCTGGCAGCACGCCGTACTTTACTCAGGAGCAGATCAATGAGATGCGCGCTGAGCAGCACAAGAACGCCAAGAAGAGGCTGGCATATGGGCTTACCACCTCTATTATTGGCTTTCTCGTCAGTGTCGGTTTTCTAGGATACTATCTTTCGCAGTATTTCGGGACTCGGGGGCGCATTTACTCTAACGGATTGTACAAATACCGGTACAACGAAACCTACTTCACTAGGCGTGCAGGTATTTCTGGTGCAGCTGCAGGTATTGGCCTTATTTGCATCATCTGCGTCATTGTCTCGTATAAAAAGACCATGAGGGTTCTAAATGACCCGAGTGCACCTTGGCTGCAGGCTGTCCAAAACCCCAACACCAGCACCACTCATTTCGCCACCAAGCCCGAGTTCCAGAACCAGCCGTACCCTCAGCCGAACCAGCCGTATCCTCAACCGAACCAGCCGTACCCTCAGCCGGATCAGCAGTACGCGTACCCCGCTCCGCAAGTGCAGCAGGGTCAGGAACAGTATAATCCGCCGAGCTATCCGCCTCCAGCGCAGATGGGAATGCCCAAAGCCTAATTTCGTGTTTATAACAATCGTTAATAAAGAAAGTCGCGACTTTCATTCTATTATTGTAACCCATTCTTTTAGTTAAGAGCCAGGCAGCCCTCCCAACATACATGTAGCCACCAATACATCCCTCTACAGCCGCTCTAGTGCCCTTGGCAATAGCTAATTCCAAACTGTTGTAGATGCTGTACCGTTAGTGAAAGGGTATACACAGCATTGTGCATGAATCCACTTTGACCTGAATACCTGGCTTTGTATCTATCCACACAATTAGGTAAGCCAGCAGCCATCCAATCGAACATACCCTTGCTAAAAATAGCCCAGCGGGGACTAGCTGTCGGTCATCCAGTGTGGAGGCGCCGAAACAAATCAGTACCTCTGAAGACCGAACATTCGAATGATCTGCAGGACATAACCATTCCTAAAGAACAAAGGACAACCTTTAAGCATGGCTCGCAGTGGAGAAGCTGGTATTAGGGCAACGACACAGTAAAAAAAATTTATGCGCTCATTCTGTCACAATCCACTGATGGATATAGACGCATACTGGGCACCCACAGCAGGAGCGATCTGGGCAACCTGTGGCTGCGTCTTCCCCAGAAAGCAACGTGAATGGCAACAAAGCTGCCCCTGCTTTTGTGCCAACCGAGCACAAATATCAGCCATAGTCCTTGCTCGCCATTTGTCGCTACTATGATGACGATATTCTAGCTGCTTGCCAGCTGCTATATTGTTTGATAGCGCAAGATCCAATAAGCCTAGAAAGTAGGTCACTTGGTATTGGCAAATACTGATTTCTTCTATTTTTGTCTGCGTTACGTAATGGCGGACATGCGTATACGACTCACCCGCCCAGCAAAGAACACAACATAGAATTAGCTGAAGGGTATAAAGTGAGAGTGCAGCCCAGGTCGGACTCTGGTGCACACCAGCATAATAACATTGTTTACTTTTTATTTTGAATACTCATAGTCGATTATTTCATATCTACATGTAATGGCACACGCCAACGTACTATATACTACTGATTATGGTGTTGGTAGACCACCGCCTACCATTATCCAGGTACCGCCCAAAAAGTACAGAAAATATCTTTTCTTCAGCATGTTCTCTCTTGGTATTTCAATTGTCAACTTGGGCGTAATGGGCTACCTCATCCACAGGTTCTTACAAGTGAAGAATGATAAAAGACAAATTACGTACGCCCTTAAAGAAGACGAAGAACGAAATAAACCTTCATACTATGCAGGCTGTATTGCTCTACTTGCAGTCTTCACTTCTATTAGCCTGATTATGTCAATCACTTTTCTTGTCAAGCACAGGAGAGTTTCCCGTTAATCTTCCATTCTGTGCCAATAAATATTCGTCGTTTGATAGAACCCCGTTAGAACCGTCAGCATAGTATTTTTTAGCCTTTAGGAAGTGTTCACAAGAATGTATGAAAATTATAACTAAAAAGTGAGTGAGGAAAGGAAAAGGGGAGCCAGCTGGCCTATTTGAGTCCGATTCTGAGCGTGCCCGATGTGGTTAATAGTGGGATAGGAGTGGCTTAGAATTTTGACTTCAATTAGTTCCTCTAGTAGACGAGATCAGCAAAGCGTCTCCAAAATTCGTTGTTGCTGATGCTCTCAAGCACTGCTGGCGTGTCAGTAATTGAGACATATACATCCTTGCTTGGTGGGCGAGTAGGCAGGATGCTGGCTATGCTAGCGAATCGAGTGGGGCGACTAGTAGCAAAATCCGCTGTTCCATATCCAAAGTCTATATCGTAGAGTCCAAAGCGAGACTGGTTCGATACGATTGTGCGAAGTCCATACATCTTTGCCGTGATAGATGGGCTCATGAATAAGGTTGGATGCTGGTTGGCCATATCGAAATAGGCTCTTATCTGTGGAGCCTTTGCGCGGTTAATCGCGTGTCTGATTTTAATTGCAGCCTCAGCCAGCGTCTCGAACGTCGTTGTCTGGATGATTCTCTCGACTGGGTTTGTCACCATAGGAATATACTGAACATTTCCAATATAACCCATGTCAGATATGCCGAGATGGCGGCGGCAATCGCATGCGATGGTAGTCAAATGGAGGTGTGATATATCGCCAGGCTTGCTTGGCTGGTCAATAAGCCCAGTCATATTGGCAAACTGCACCCGAGACACTGTCTTGGCGATCAATGCGCTCAGGGCATCGTTAATTGAAAGCCGAGGACCATCCGAGGTGCACTTCTGTACGCCATCTCGCAAATACTCAAGATTGTTATGGCCAATTCGGTAGAGGCAGCCTTGGTGATTAGCACTCTGTGTGCTGGCGTGAATTGCCTTGTTGCGTTCTACTGGAGAGAGCGATGCCATGGCTATTGCTGCTGGCGGAGGGTTCGTAATACTAAGCCGGTGAAGATCATCAATCTCAACTCGTACGTCGGTAGGGTCACCGACAAGAACTGCACGATCAAAGCAAACAGCTATCTCAGGCGCAGGCACTCCAGTCAGCAAAGCCCGCGTTTCGTCAGCCCAGCGATTTACGAAACTGTAGAACCCGGTGGCATCAGTGACACCATGGCAGCTACTGATGAATATGGCCACACCAGATGAGTCCCGAAACCTGACAATATGGACATGCAGCATCTTTATCTGGCCGGTTGCTTGGTCAGGAAGTGCAAACATGCTGGTAGTCATCAGCCCAGCAGGCCAGGTGCGTGGGTTGTAGCTCGAGGATTTGATGTCTGAAAAGAGGATATCCGAGGTTGACTCGAGGTAGTTTGGCATATTCAGATCGTCCTTGTCAATGACAATTGCGAGTCCTCCGTCGGTGCGCTGTCTGAAGTATCCGAGATATATTGGAAATTTCTCCAATGCCTTGTAGAAAGCCTCCCTGAGCATGCCACTGCTCAGAAAGTCAGGATCACTGCCAGTGTTCTCGTAGAACAAAACAATGTCAGTGGTTGGTGGCAGAAAGGCCTGCATCGATGTTGGTCAGGCGAATAACCTGTGAAGCGATTGACTTCATGGATTGTGACATTATAGCGCAATGAGGGATGAGAAAGGATGAAGAAGGATCATAAAAGGTGAGAATGATGGACCTCTAGCAGGCTGGAGACATAGGTGCCTTTTATCGGCACCTGCCCCTCACATGATTACAGTGGCATGCGAGCTTCCAAACAATGCAATTCCCGCATCTTGGGGAACAATTGGTGGAAGGGAGAGGGAGGGAGAGTGCGTGTGGCTGAGATTTTGAGGGAGGCAACTGTGGGGTGGATCAACGAGTCCTAGCCCCGGGTTCCATATGCAATGGCGGGTATGCAGAGTGATGTACAGATACACTCCTACACCACAATAGGTCAAACCGAATACACGCATGTCTTGGCTTAAGGAGGCCAGCCAGCCTTCCTCTTCCCAGTTCAATTTTATATTGTTAACTTTTTGAAAGAATGCTCACAGGAATATATGTGGAACCAGATGCCTTCTTTTTAGCAGAGCTTGTACTGGATCACAGATATATAGGAGAATCAACGGTGCATGTCTAACTGACATTAGTCAAGATATTTAGGAAATTTATCAGGTGGTGTATTCTCCTAGTAGTACAACTGTTGCGCGCCCGATGCAGCTGTCCCTGACATCGACATGTCAGCCGAATCAGGTGACAGCAAGCCAGGCGCCAACGAGAGCCCCGCTACAGCCTACGATATGGAGGTAGAGTCTAGCCTCTGATAAGTTGCACAGATGGCAGTATTAAAAACTCCCCTGCGCAACTCGTCTATTCCCTTTTCTCTCTTTTCTTCAGTATTAAATATACATTTAAAAACCCCTGCACAGTCGACCGACACAACACAACGACGCATGTGCTGATAAAACCAATATTAAAAGTTCACAAAAATATATTGGAAAACCAGTAGAAATCTCTGCTGCTAGGTGCTGGCGAGGAGTATTTAAGCAAATACCAAGTGCATACGGAGCCCTTAGCTAAGCTGCGCATGACCCTATATAAAGCTGCACCAATCTCAGTAAGTCGCCTCGGGTACGACAGAACAATCCTAGTGGCATGGCATATATCTGATGAAAGGTCGGCGACCAATTGACTAACCACAGTTTATTTCAGATTTAGTGAACGTAGCGTGTTGTGCTACATAATCATTCGGCCTAAGAATTAGTTCAGTTTATTAATCCAGTTGAACAGTACTATGTGCGGTTCTTGTCATGACGACAAGGACGGGGTGACCTGGATTCAGGATAGGAGCTGGTAACCAGGTATCGCTAAGACGTGTGCAGGTACTCTGGAGGTGGGGTTGGATATATTAAAGTGAGCAAATAGTTGGGAAAGGTTGTTAAGACAAGGGATCTAGACATGTCGCCGAAGATGCCGGAGGTATATAATTGTCCGCAGATAGTGTCAAGGTAATCGTGAATATCCTGTTATTATCATCTACAAAGACCATGTACGCTAACATAAATAGAAATCATGTCTGAACCGGCTATCCTTAGTTACTGGCTCAGCTGACAATGACTCGAGACCCGACCTGTCTTGATCTATGACTGTTTGTGGTTGCTTGGTTGTATTTCAACAGCAACCCGGCCAGGAAAGTGTGCAATAGTAAGTAGATATCACTGATGGATATCACTGATGTGAGGCACATAGATGTTTGACACCAATGTTGTGACTAGTACTTACATCTTACCCCACCATTACTTGTAGTTATTTATTAGTAGCCCAACTAATTCGTCGCACAAACTCTACACTCGTTGTGGATATGCTCCCTTCATTTTTGCATTTACAACATTGCCAAGGTATATACAGTCAGAGTTAGATAGGCCATAGTGGCTTTGGGATGGATCTAGATATCAGAGCTTCCAGATTTCTCAAGCTGCATAAAATTCTAAAAATAGATATGCCATTCTGCTAAAATGAGTGCTGGCCTCTTTGATTTGTGCTATTTTTACTGACATGCGTAGGTGATTCCTTCGCATCCAAATATCTCCACACTCAAAAGGGTGACGATTGATAGACCCAGGGTTTTTTTTATAAAATGGACTGCGACCCACACCGTACCCCTGTGGCAGATAGGTACCCCAAGCAAGTGTCTGTATACTACTTTGCCATTATTTATTTCTTCATTATGTCGCATCTTCACACGCCAATTTCCCACAATGTTGCACCCATCAGCCCACAGGCAATCGTTTTCCAAGCACCAAAGCAAAAGGACAAGAGGCTCCTCTACATTGCACTCTTCTTCCTTGCTGCTGCACTAGTCACTTTGGGTCTGATGGGCTACTTTATTAGCCGGATGCTTGAAGCAAATAGGACAGGCACGTACATAACTGGATGGGGTCACCACATTTTTAGCAACAGCAGATCGTACTACGAGGCACGTGTGGGCATAAATGCATCGGTCGCTGGAATTTGTCTGATATTAGCAATAATCTATCTCGTAAAGTACAAGAGATCCTAGTTCGTGTTTCAGTCCAACAGCATGTAAATTCATAGCATCAGGTTTTGCCAATACATTCCTTAGCAGCATCTTCTCAATGGCCAGAATTTATTATACGTGAATTCGAGGAAGCTGCCCTTTGTGGGGGCTGTATTCATTCTGAATCCTTATACCTAGCAACGACAAGTCTGCCAAGGTCTTGACAGACTTTTTGTGCGCAATCTACTATTGCGTTCCATCGTCGCGGCTGTCCATATAAAAGTAGACGATGCGCTGGACTCGTCCTGGCTCCAAGTAAACCATCCACATCATTCCAAGCTATAGACAATGTCGTTCACCAATATTATTAAACCTACCTCTGTGACCTACTCCGACGAAAGCCTTAAAGAGCCAGCACTCAAGCAGAACAACCCCGCAGTTATTGCCGCCTTCTCAGTAATGGCTGTTGCCTCACTGGTTGGTGTTGGCTTCATGGCGCATTACCTAGTGCAAATTACACACTTTCAGCATGATATACTCGAAAACAAGACGAATCCTACTAAGGCAGCAAAAATTATATTCGGAGTAAATATTTTCTCGTTTATCAAACGCGCCATGCTGCTTGGAATATTTTGTGTGCCAGCATTCATTATTTCAGTGGCTGCACTTGTAGTAATGGCTGTGCCCAGATGGCGCAACCGGTGAATGTTCCTGTGACAATAAATATGTATATTCAAAAAAAAAAAAAGAAAAGCGTATGGCAGTATAGCCCTGTGTTAATGATAGACATGTGCTACTGCGATAGTCACCCTGGTACAGGTGCTATTATAAGGTACATGGGTCAGCTTTAGGAGCTATTTCCCGGTGAGTCGGGGGCGACACCCCGCACGTACTAGTATGTATGTGCACTACTTAGCCGACAGTCTGCCGCTAGTACCTCGGTCTTCTTTTTCCAGTTGTTCTTTCCTCCGTATTTGCGCTATTGAAAACTCTACACAACAATGGTTGGATACCCACCCGTAGTCCCTGCCCCTAGTCAGGGTCCGTCCTCTTATGCTGCCTCCGGGCCCCCAGCCGTGGGTGCGCGCAAGACGATCCTGCGAAAAAAGCGCTACGACATCTCGATCTGGGTGCAGACAGGCCTCACAACGCTGTACCTTGTTCTCCTTATATACTATTTTGTGCACCTGCGGCACCTGGCCGGTATGCAGCCGGCGATCTGGCGCGCCGGGCTCCTATTCCTACTTTTGCTGGTAGATATCAGCGTGATTTGGCTGACTGTGCGCAGCAGACGGATGGCGTGCAAATCCGAGCCAGGAGCGCAACAGAGAGAAACAAACCAGGGTGTGCCGCTGGCGGGAATTGGTAGCAATAACCCGTTTTCATTTCACCAGAATCCAACTACTTTGGCCGATTCGCTGCGTCCGCCGCAGCCCGCCGAGCTGGATCTGCAGCATTCGCCAGGGCGCAGTGAGCAGCTAGCGAGGTCGCATCTGAACACGCCGATTACTGGGTAGACCAAGAGGATATAAGCCCTTTTTTTTCTCGAAAAGCACAAGCATCTAAGATTATATAATGTTAGCACTGATATGGGGTAAATTAATAAGCCGAGCGGTTGGTGTGGTGGATGGGCGACGCCGGGCCGTTGCTATACTGGTGTCGCTGGTGCTCGGGCTGGCTGTGGTACCACTGGGGTTCGCCGGTCTCAACTGCAGACGGGTGCTGCGGCTGATACTGCTGCGGCGGCACTTGCTGCTGATGCTGCTGCTGGTTGTAGTGATGGCCACTGTAGTGGCCGTGGCTGAGCGACGCTGGCTGCGGAGGCGGAGGCGGAGCCTGCTGGGCCTGGTGTGGGGGTGGGGCAGTGTACTGCTGGTGCAACGGCGGTGAGCGGTACCCGCTTGAGCGGCCGTACATCTGGTGCTGCCTGGAGGTCGGATTCGGAAGCTGCAGCTGCAGACCGCGGGGTGGCGGCGAGTGGCTATAGGGCTGCTGGAATTGCGCCTGCGAGTGTCTGCCGCTGTTCGGCAGCATATCGGCCGCGTGAGATGGGCGGCTGTTACTGGGGGGTGCTGGGTACCCGTGGTTCATGATTCCGTTGGCCTCAGCGGGCGGGGCATTGGCAGAGGGGGCATTGGCAGAGGGGGCAATGGGTGCAGGCGACGACTGGTGACCAAAGTAGCGGTCATTGCCGCTGCTGTCGTTGCTCATCGGGGTTTCAAACTGGTTCAGGCTCTGGATGCTCGGTAGCGACACAACCTTTGTGTTGGTAGACTCACCATACGATCTCTGCGCGTGGCTATGCGCTGGGGCCTGTCCGACGGGATAGAATGGAATATGCTTCTTCTGCTGCTGCGGCTGAGCGGGCTGAGCTGGAGACGCAGCCGGATTCAGCTGGGTCGCCGGCCTCTCCTGGTCTTTTTCCTGCTGCTTCGGGCTGTTCTGGCTGCGAAGTGACCGCTCAACCTTGATCATCCACGAATGCACATCCACTTGGTGCTGCTCCAAAGCGAGCTCCAGCTTGCGCAGCTTGAGCTTCAGCTCCGAGTTTTCCATGCGCAGGTCGTTCACCGACCGCATCACATCCTCCGAGCTGCTGCTATCGGGGACCTCGCCAGCACCGTCGTCGGCACTATGTGGCTGCCGCCGTGCAGG